GTAATTAAAAGCCAATTAGTTAAGTAACTCATTGTCTCACAATTGCACTAAAATCATTTTGAAATGATTCTATAAAAATATATCTTAATGAGAATGTAAGATTTCAAGTATTCTAAATGAACAAACGAGTATTTACTTAGAGGTATGCATTGCAGTTTCTTTTTAAATAGAAAGTCATCAAGGAAGTTTGAAACTTGTTTAGTGAGTTGTCTGTTTTCCTAATGCAATTTTTATATAATATAATTAATAATTTGAACACTGATTTTTAACATTCTTTTTGGGTTTTTTGAATTTTTGTGAATTTCATGTTATATTTTATTGAATTTAGATTCCCTCCCCTATCTGCACGATCCATCCCCCATTGTATCCCCCACCCAAATTAACTAACTCCTTCCTTTCTTTTTCTTTTTTCTCTTTCTTTCTTTCTTTCTTTCTTTCTTTCTTTCTTTCTTTCTTTCTTTCTTTCTCTTTCTTTCTTTCTTTCTTTCTTTCTTTCTTTCTTTCTTTCTTTCTCTTTCTTTCTTTCTTTCTTTCTTTTTCTTTCTTCCTTCCTTCCTTCCTTCCTTCCTTCCTTCTCTTTCATTCTATTTATGTATCTATTTTCTATCATCTATCGATCTCTTTGTCATCTGTCTGTGTGTCTGTCTAGCTATCTAAAGGACTGTAGAATCTAATTTGTGTCACTGAACGTTCTTCAGTTTGGGTCCATTCCCTGGAGCCTGGTTAACCTACCAAGAGACACATCCTTGAAAGAGACTGATTCTCCCCTTCTCAGCAATAATCACTTGCCTATAGTTCCTTAGGCTGTAGATTTTTACTCACTTCCCTTTGTATATACTGGAATTTTGTCTAGTTTGGGTTGCATGGACTTATCCATGCTGTCTCCCACCATTTCAATGAGTTCGTATGAGTAACTGACCAGTTGTATGGAAAATTCTATTTCAATGTGGGCATGTACTACCTCTGTCTCTTTTCATATTTCTACCTCCTCTTCTGCAATGATCCCTGAGACTTGGGAGGCAGAAGTTCTATATAGGAGTCCTATTCAGGGATAAACACTCTTCAGCCTCTTGCTATCTGAAAATTGGCCAGTTGTAAGGTTCTTTGTTAATCACAATATGCTACATAAGGAAGCTTTTCTGGTGAGAATTGAGAGTTGCCTTAGCCTAGAAGTACAACAATAAGTCATTAAGACTCAATTTTATTCCACAGCAATTTAGTAGAAAACTAATACTAGACTCTCCCCTCTGCCCTGTGACCTGTCTAGCCTTCAGGTTTCTAGACCTGATAGCCGTGTCAGACATGGGCTTCATTCTATGAAACTGACCATAAATTCAATCACAGAGTGGTTGCTTTCTCCCACAGTATTCATGTCGGTGGGCATATCTTGCCAGGACAGTTGTTGCAGTCCACAGTGTAATATTGATGATTATTTTCTTCTGATAGCACCTTCCAGCACTACAGATGTTAGCAAGTAGAGATGAAGCTTTGAATCAAGCACCAGCTTTAATTCTTCTTGTTTTTTCTACAGCATGTGTATGTAGAATTTTTTTTTTGAGACAAGATCTCCCTACATCCCCAGATGGCCTGGAAATCACAGAGATCCACCTGCCTCTGCCTCCCAAGTGCTGGTACTAAAGGCATGAGTCATCATGCCCGTCTGTATGTAGAATATTTGGAATCCAAATTTCATGATAAAAATTAAAATTTGAGCACTATTATAATATTTAATGTTCTTAATTAAATAAAATGATCAGAAGTCAAATGTTTAAGCTTCATTTACTGTAACTTTTCACAGTATTATTATTTTTCATTTATTTTTCAATAAGGTTGAAAGACAAGGGAAAACTAAGATGTTTTCAATGTGTTATGCAAACGACAATGTTATCTCTACATATATATATGTGTGCATAGGAGATATGTGAATTCATTTATTTAATACTAGTGAAGGTCCAGAACTTTTACAGTATACAAAATATGGAAATAATAGTTGCATATGGAAATTTGACACACTTCAATGCAAGTGTACATTTTGTTTCTCTTTCAGAGATGAATTTATGAAGAAGTAGTTTCATTGTTCCATCAAATCATGAAAAACTAATGTTTTTGCTGGAAGTCTTTGATGATTGCCACCTGAAATGGTACAGATAATTGGACATATTTATATCTAAGTGAAACAGGGCCATCATAGATATTGTTTATGTGTTCTTATTAATTATTAGTATACTGTATGTTTTAGGAACAAAGTTTTTGTCAATAAGCATGCTAATAACTTATTCAGCAGGTGGTATACAAATAATTTGCCTTTAATTTTCAGACTGGTTACTCAGTGGAGGGGGAAAGTAGCTTAAGAAAAATAATGGAAGTTTATATTATTTCATCATCCAAATTGATGGTGTAACATGGTTGTTTTCATTTGTATCTCTTACTGTCTTTCAGATGGTTATTTCCTTCCAGTGTATTCCATATGTCAACACTTCTGTCTACATCCTCTCTTCTTATAAGAACATTAGTTGTATTAGAAGTCCACACTAATGATCACATTTTAATTACCAATTTTAAAACCCTATTTCCCAATACAGACATATTCTGAGGTATTGACCTTTTTTGAGACAAGGCCACAATTTAGCTTATAAAACTTTTCCTTTACTTAACATTTTCATGATGTTTGGAGTTAGAATAAGCAAGCAAGTTTTAACTTTTACTTTTTAAATATTTGGTAGTTTCAAAAAACATAATTTTATCATACTCTCCAGTCACTATTAAAGGGCATGATGTAGGAAGTTCTTTTACTAAAAATGATCTAAAAGCATATTATCAACACTTCATCCAGTTTTTACCCTCCAAAAGATTACTTTGGTATTATCCCATCATTATTTGATTACATCCTATGCAGGTGATGATGTTTTTGTTTTGTAATTTTCTATAACTCCAGGGAGATTAAAATCTAACTTCCTATTGGAAGATAACAAATTCACAAAATAAAACTTTTCTTACTGTTAATCTATATGCCAATATTTCATAAAAGGCTAGCACATAATCTTCTCTTATCTTAGATTTTACTGATAAGTCTTCAAGAGTTTCATAACACTGAAATCATATACAGAACTTTGCAATTTGTGAATTTAAAGAGCCATATCTCCATATCTCCCCATATCCATATTTCCCCATATCTCCAAAGGATTAATGACACTTACAAAAATTATACTAGAAAGAGATAGACCAAGATTTTTTGTTTTGTTTTAGTTTTTGCTTGTTTTTTTTATTTATTTATTTTTTTTCTTGCTTTGGTTTTTTTGTTTTTGTTTGTTTGTTTTTTGAGACAGGTCTCCCTGTAGCCCCAGCTGCCTGGGAACTCACTCTGTAGTCCATGCTGGCCTTGAACTCACAGAAATCCACCTGCCTCTGCCTACCCAGTGCTTGGGATTAAAGGCATGCGCCACCACACTCGGTATAGACCCAGGTGTTTATCTGCATACTACAAATTCTCATCCCACCCCATCACCCATTTTAAAGGCTGCTAAAGTCTATTTATAGATAGAAAGTTCCTAGTTAATTTTTCTTTTATATAACAATGTATTCCTTATCTTGATGGAATCAAATTAGAGCCCCCCAGATTAAAGTAAACTGAAACTAAGTCTCCCAGGCTATATTCTGGGAAGCTGTACAAGGAAGTAAAAGGAAAATAATTCTAACTGTAGAGAAGAAAAGATGACCTTTTCATGCTTCCTTGCTCAAGCTGGAAAAATACCTGAAAAATCTTCTGTTGATGCTTGTGGCTTGTGGTTTCCGTCTTTAAATACAAGTCTGTAAGCTGAATCTGGGCTTCCTCCTTTTGATTAAGGTGGAAGGCTGTCTATAGACGAAATAAATCCTCTTGCTATTGCATCTTCTGGTTTGAGGACTGAGCTATTGGGGTGTGGCTTCCCGTGAACGTAGGGTACCCCAGTTTGGGGGTCCTACATTTTGGGGGCTCGTCTGGGATTCGGCCGCCCCCAGACCCATTTCCTCAAATCAGCAGGAGGTAAGAATATTTGTCTTGTGGTTTGTCTTGGTCTTAATGTCTGTCAGTCATTCTCTGCTCTGGGAATGTTCCATCTGAACAGTTGTGCCTGTACAGGACCTATAAGTCTGTATTCTGGGAACCAGCGGGAGTGGCAGACGTGCCCAGAGACCCCAGGTTCCGACATTCTGGCCCTCATGGCCAGAGTGATCTGAAGTGAGGAAGACAGTGTCTCCTCACCTCGGGAGAAGGGAGATTGGCTTGGCTACTCCCCTCCTGATATGTACTTTCAGTTTTGAGTCAGAGAAGGTGCCGAGGATTTTTGTTGTTTATCTGTGTCTGTATTTGGGGATCCTTAAAGTAAGAATGGTGAGCGCCGTGCATGTCTGGGTGTAAGAAGGACCGGTCCATTTGAATGTGATATAGCACGGTGTGTGTATGTGTGTGCTTGATGGTGTGTTAATATTTTAAAGAAAAAGGTCTGGTATTGTATTTTTCTCTACACTCTCTATCTTAAACCTTCCCTTTCTCCTCCTCTTTCCCTTTTATTCTCACCCTAAGTCTTCACGTGGGACCGTTAAAGGCGAAAGAGCAATTGAGGTTTTCTGGTCAGGGCCACTCCCTGATGTAAGCCAAAGGCTCTTGGCCCTCTTGGCGGACCCCGACTGCCCACACGGGTGGAGACAAGACGGCCTTTCTGTACTTCCTTCTCCTTTCCATTTCTCTCTTTAGCCACTGAAAAAGCCCCACAGGCATGGGTAGAGCAAATAAGAGCCACAGGGTGCTCACCGCTAAAAGACTCCCGTATAAGGATAAGGGGGTCCCAGGAGTGAATCCCAGATAAATTCATGTCCCCCACAGAAGAAAAACTGGGCACCGATAGGTACTCATCCACAAGCACACTCACTGGTCATTACTGTTTGCAGTGGCATCTATATCTCTCCCTCTCCTTCTCTCCTTCTTCCTTTCTCCATTTCTTTCCTAAAAGTCCTTCACCATGGGTCAATCACTAATTACTTCTTTGAGCTTAACTCTAGAACACTGGAAGAAAGTTATAGAATGAGCCCATAATTTATCATTAGAGGTCCAGAAGAAGTGGCGGAGTCTCTGTTCCTCTACATGGCCCTCCTTTGAAAAAGGATGGCCAAGAGATGGGACTTTTGATCTTGCTACTATTTTACAGGTTAAGGAATACATTTTCCATCCAGGGCCACACGGGCACCCGGACCAGGTGGCCTACATAGTCATCTGGGAAGACTTGGCTCGGAACACCACATCTTGGGCACGACCGTTCCTACCTCCTCGGGGAACCAGAGAGAATGATCAAGGACCCCCTATCCCTTCTGCTCCCCTAAGTCTCACTTCCTCCCTCCTGCCCCTTCAGTCTTCCTCTGAAAAGAAAAAACAAAAGCCAGTCTTCCCCGAGGACCAAGCCTCCCTAACCCTCCTTGATCTTCCGCCTCCCTATCCACCAGTGCAGGCACCTCCACCCCAGGAACCTCATCCCTCTCCGGATTCCACCGAATC